AGTTAATTATAAATTAGTTATTAAAATTATTATGTTGAAAAATGTGTTGAAAAAATCTCTGTTAAACAGGGCTTGGGAAATATATACATTTGTTTAAAGAATTAACAATTAACAGGAGGGTGAATAATTTTGCCTTCAACTGCAGGTTTCTACTTGATGAGGTTTATGGGGCTTGAAATCTCCTTATTGTAACTGTATAAAATGCACATAAAAACACACTATTTCTCACAGAGGAATCATACAAGTTTGGAATGACATGAAGGTGAGTTAAATGACCCTTTTTTTCCAAGCTTATTTGCTCTACCATGCTCATCAAATTTTAGCAGCCATGGGTGTGCTTTACATTTCACACAGCTAGCTTATCTGGATTTTAATCAGGCACACACAGAGAGCCATAAGGCTAACCTGCTCCAACACCTCAAATCTCATCAGCTCATAACAGTCCAAACACACATCCAGACTTCACACAGCAGGATATTTCATCAACTTTTGAAGAAAAGTTTATCAGTCAAGACACCAGCACATCCACCAACAGCCTGCCAGGGATACAAAAAAAAAAATCATAAACACATTTTGAATTGAGAAGGAAAAGAAATGAATTCATTTTGCAAATAAATGGGTCCCTCTGCGAATCTCTTAATTAGTTCTGAATGCATAAACAGTTCCAGCAAGTTAAAATGGACTGCAGAGAGACCTGGCTGCTGAGAGAATAAGGGCTGCCATATGTTGAAACTCAAACACTTACAACTTTATGACTGGTGGAAAGAAATTGGGGAATATATTTTATGATCAAGTAGGAAAACTGATAAAGGTTCATTATCACAATGTAAAGTGTAAACCACAAGGAAAAGATGTTGATAGGCTCATTGAAGCTGAAAAGCCAGCTATATTGTGCTGGACAAGTGATAAAACATGGATGATGGTCTTTATTGCAGTTTCTTAGGGGATCAAATAGTTGGGTCCATTTTGTGCCAAAATGACTTACATTTCATAAACATTTCCAGGCCTTTCTGACTTTTAATTTTAGATATGTTTTAGATATGTTACCCATGCATTCATTCAATTGGATATTAAGATAGAAACAGCACAATGTTTGACAAACATTCTCATATCTTACTGTTATCAAAAGGCTGGTGATGCCTACAACATGACACATAATGCAAATGCTTTTGTTGGTTTCTGTGGAAATAAAAAACATGGACTCGGGAGGAAGTTTTAGGCTCTGCAAGTGTGTTTTCGGAATAAATGATTACTTTTATCCTAAAAGATCAAGAAAATCCAATTACGTCAGATAGTACACTCTTTAAAGACTTAATCCCTGAAGTGAAATTCAAATTCCCTTTAAAAACTCCAGGTAAAAGCAAGAGATTGTTCTCTTCCACACCCACGCCAGCTTAGGTTTCTATCTCTTTAAGTAGGCAATATTATGACTGACGGGATATGTAAATTCAGGCTTTCCCACTGTGTAGAGATGTGGTACCCGTGGGCTTTACAGCGCCACATTAACATTCATGGACCTGGATGCCAGGGGTGTGTACCAGCTGCCTACAGACACTCACGGCCTTTTGCACTGCCACTCAAATGCCAGTCTGTTACTGGGCAGAGGTGGGCATTTCATTCTGATCTGAGATCAGCAGTCCTACATTGATCTTATATGTGATGAGAATGTAAAGCTGATCTAGGTTCAGGAAGACAGGGGATCGTCTTCTGATATTAACTGTCAATAACGCAAAAGGACAAAATGTGGAAAGGTTATTAGATCTGTGACATTTTTGCTCAAGGCAAGTGCTGTGAGGAAGGTTAATGCTAAGAAAAGACTGTGAATAAAGACTAGTGATAAATGCAGATGAGCTGAGGTCATTCTAAGCAAGGGTCTGTATTTAATTCTTACTGCTGTAAAGAAATATTTGTTATAATCTTATTAAATATATATATTTATTTATTTATTTATATATATTTATATATATATATATATATATATATATATATATATATATATATATATATATATATATATATATATATATATATATATATATATATAGAGCAAATACTTAATATACAATTATTTCTAAAGATTGTAGCACAAATATTTAATGTTTCCATCCAAAAAGGCAAACAAAGCTAGATTATTGGAATTTGTGACTTAAGCTGCATTTCCATCCAATGAGTCAAAGAGAAAAAAAATTGTCACTTACTGAAAAACTGGTGCCGATTATCAAAAAGAAAAATGAAAGTTGCTCTGATATAGATAAATCAAATGTGGTCATTGGTTTTTCTTAAATAATAAATAACTTGCACCTCAAAAGATGAAAAAAATGCAATAAATGTGATAGCATTTGGAGGTGCGAGACGACTTTTCAAGAGCCATCATTAATGAAGTCCCACCGTGCCCATTTTTATTACAACATGATCTATTAAAACAAAAATCACATGAATGATGCGCATGCTGGTATTTATTCTGTAAATTTGTTTCCATTGTAGTATATGCACATTTTTTTATTGATTTAAAAGTTTATCCTACTCAAATGTGTTCATAAGTTATGCACATTTTCAAACTCTTGTGACCCTTTTCCACTGATTGGAACGGTATGGTATGGGTCAGTACAGGTCACCTTTATCAGGCTTGTGTTTCCACTGCCAAAAGGGTACCAATGGTGCCAAGGGTACATCTCATATTTGTCTTTAATCTTTACCGGCACATGTAACCTCTTGTTAGAAAGTAATTCCACCATTCCGAGTTCATAATAGTCCAAAAGGCATTGTTTAATTGGATATGGCAGTTATTTCATGTTTTAGGTTGCTGAAAAAATCATTTGCTAATTTTTTCAAGCTTCTCCTTTGTTTTTTCGCATGCCATTTGTCAGTTTCTGAACGGATGGGATGTCAGAAGCACTTTAAAAATCATGCGCGCATTAATATCAGCAGCTTAAGAAGTTTGTTTTTTTAATATCGACGTGCACACAAACTCTCTCAAGAAAGTGAATGGCACTTTAGACAGCCTTGTATACAACAACAAGGCACAGGGTAGATTCTGCTCTTCTTTGAACAGGCTTTGTGGCTGTTCATCAAGACGACAAGATTTGTTTGAGCTCAGTTTGACCATGGGTTATTATTATATGTATTTATTACTACGGTGTAATGTCTTGGCTGTGTATTCAAAAATGGTGCTTCCTTTGTTTACATTCTTCTGGCTCGTGAACAAGCTAGTGACGTATAAACCAATAGTGCTCAGCTGCGCATCTTGCTCCGCCATTTTGTGCGGGGTACCCTTTCGAAAGTGTACCTAGCACAACAAAAGGGTACAAACAGGCAGAGCAAGATGCGCAGCTGAACGCTATTGGTTTTTTACGTATGTAAAAATGAGTATGTACGGTTTGGTTTTTGGTACCTTTTGACAGTGGAAAGAGCCATAAAAGTGTACCAAACCGTACTGTACCACTCAGTGCAAATAGGCCATTGGTGTATCCATTAACCATTTTCTATGCAACATTCCAAAATATGCTTGAAATGTAGCAAATTTTGCTGTCTAATTTTGTGTTTTCCACAAAATAAGTTTTTTTTGTTTGTTTTGTTTGTTTTGTTAAAAAGCTTTGGTTATTTTGTGAAATGTTTTATTAGCAAGGTACAGCCTGTACAACTGTAAATGCTTCCAATTTTAAACGATGTGGTTATAAACTGTTCTCTAATTTTGATCTAACTTTAGAGCAACAGAGCAAGACATGAGTTTGGAGAAGGACGCCATGGTGATATCGACCTCCTGTACACAGAAATAATTCAAACACCTGATAATGACTTCTCCAAAAGTGTGTTGTTGTAATAAACTACTTCCCAAAGACCATTTACCAGCTGATGACCTTTGACCCCTTGGGTTAACAAAGAATACTTTCAGATCAGGGCTGAAGCCTGACCCAATTTGGATTTTTTTCCAGCATATAACATCGAGGCAGAACTGCATGGAGATTACCATCTGACAAGTGATGGCACACGGTTCTTGTCTGTATGAGGTCTTCTTTGTGTCAGGTTTCTGGTCAGTGGTCAAAACTATCTAATCTTGGGCCACTGATAAGGTGACAAGTAGACTGGATTGGACATCTAGCAGGGAAACAGCCTTTGTATTTTGTTTAATTGGTGGTTCTGTACAATTTTGGTCTGAAAAATCACACAAATACTTTCAGCGAATGAGATTCTCACAGTAGGTATGAATACAGCTGCTCTGTGGAGGTGTAAATGTAAGCTTTTAATATCCGAGAGTGTAAAATGTGCAGAGAGCAAAAAAGAAAATGTCTTTAAAGGGCAAGTGCACCCAAAAATAAAAATCCATCTGACTTTAGTTCCTCTGTTGAACACGAAAGTAGAGATTTAGCAAAAAGCCCAAGCTATTAGTTTGCTTACAATTAAAGTGGAATGGGAACACTTTGATCTGTAACACTTTTAACTGTTCGTTTTAAGATTTATTAATTACATTAATTACATCATGTAATGGAGATTACAGGGAAAACTTGAATAAGTTGCGTGAACAATTTTGTATATTATTGGTATTGCAAAACAAATGATAAGATTTCCATTTTTCAATGTTACATGATCCTTAACAAATCATTCTAATATGCTTATGTACAGTATCTTATTTTTAACAGAATACTTTTGTGTGTGGAAAATATGAAACATTTTTCAAGCATTCTGATCAATTGAAAGATCAAAAGGACAACCTTTCCCCCTTTAATCATTTTGGTTTAATTTTATATTAATTTTAATAAATTAAAATATTAATTTCCAACTGTCCCTAAACCTTTGAATAAAAGCATTTTTACATGTCAGTATCAATGCATCCCACAAACTATATATAAAATAAGCATAATTTTCAAGTATCTGAGGACGACCTGATATCACTTCAGCAGCATTAAGTCATATTATAATCAGACACACACCTGTTCTTGTTCCACTGACCCACAAAATTTATTAATGCAAATCGATGCCCATTACCGAAGAGCAAGTCCGTCCCACATGCATTGCTAATTCTGGCATAGATTAGCATAGCCTGTAAAGAATTGATGTGATCACTAAAACAGGCTATACTAATTAAAGCCAGAATCATCAATTCAGATCTTCAGGATTTTAAAGGGCTTCCCTCCAAAAAGGTAGCACTGTAAATGAAAAGCATTAGTTTGCATCACAAAGCTGCACAAAAAACAAGAGTGGAGGAATGGTTATGATGATCCTGCATAAAAGAATGTTTGAGCTGAAGAGTCATAACGTACCTTTCAAGAGCTATTATTCACATTATATGACTTACAGGGCAATAATCTCTCACAGCAGAGACCCACAATTCCTCCTTGCAGATTACTATGCCACCATTTACATATTTTCCTCAAATGACTGTTATATTTTTTTTCACAAAGACAAATGGCTAACTGACCTATGGTAAACATTTGTAAGTCAGAGGCCATGTGATTACGGTCATAACTAACACCTTCAAAACAAATCATCATGAGAATAAACATAAACACACAGGATTCTTGGAAATCTAAGATGGATGTGAAATGACACGTCCCCTGAAGAGGACCTTTTCATCACACTAAGCATCTTCCCAGTGAGTTATACTGTTCCCAATTTGCAACCTCCATCTCCTGCATCCATTATTTATACTTGCTCAAATGATGCATAACTCTGAATAATCAGATAAGCTCATAGCGGATAACTGTCTGATGGACAAAAACAAATCTATAAAAACACAGAGATATTCACAATCACAGATGTTTATTTGCATGTACTGATTGCATCGTTTTATCACACAATTCATTTAAGAAAACATGCAAAACTCGATGTACAGTATGTGTGTGTGTGTATTTGTTACATTGAAAAGAATGCAACAGACTATAGTCATATGGCATTCTTAAACACTCAATAAACATGAAATTGAATCTTTGTTCAAACCACTTTTTTAAAATGAGCTGAAACAACTAATTGTTTTATGTTCAATTCACTTAAATTTTAAAAAAAGTTAATTCCTTTAAGATGTCCCAACACAAATGATTGTGAGATCCGGAATGTCTATCTAGATACTGTATATCCCTGATTATGATGTTCAACATTTTGTTTGACATCCTTTTTTCAATTCCGCTCAGTTAATTTAAAAGCATGATTTTGATTCAGGATGATTTCTTTTCTAAAAGATGACACTATTTTCATGAAGCAGCTAAAGTTGTTGCAGGAGTTGATCTCATTACAGTTGAAAACTGCTTCATCAAATTATTTATGTTATTCCAAAAGTGCCTACAGTACTGCCTACAACAGCAAAATAAAAAAAGAACAATACACTTACAAAGCAATAAAATAATACACAATATGATAAAAAGGCTGGAACTATTTTCAAGTCTTTCCCATATGACTGTTTATTATCCAGTGAAGCCTGCAAATCTACTGCTGTCTCTCCCACACAAATACACACACTTAAAATACAGCGTCACTTATTCAGAAACTCATGTTATCAGCTCACACTGACCCACAACTTTATCAATAAAACAGTTTTGCGACTGAAAAGCCACATGACATTTCTCGGTCTGGAGGTCTGAGGTCTTCAGGCAGGTGAACTAACAATTTTTGTTATTACTAGAATAATTTGCATATTCATGACAGTGTGTTGTATTTGAGCTAAACCCTTTTCATCTGTTTGTTTCTCTATACTCTCTATGCTCACAAACTGTATTTTAATCCAGCCAAATTCCCAATAAAGCTGCTTTCATTTGCATATGTATCTCTTTCTGCTTTCAGACAATGGAACAAATAAGAAACAGTAACTTAAAACGTGAGGCTTTAGGACTTTGCTTATGTTTACCAGTAATCACTTCCTTTAAGTGGAACTGCAGTTCGATTAATTTCCCTAATGGGGTTCAGCATGCCCTAATGGGGTTCAGCATTTACCGGTAGGAATGAATACCCACCCCAACTCATAATTCTCATTCAGCCATGTATGCCTGTTACATATCCATAATACACTGTGATATAGCCTGATTCGTTAGTTCGTTGGACTGTATTGCTTTCTCACTACAATCAATCTGCTCCAAAGTGGGTTTCAACCAAGCCAAGACCACCTTATTTAGGCAATATTGGATCGATTGAGCATCAGAGCTTGATTGCTGGATACACATATTCCAAATGAATCACGCTAACAGGGTAAATGGACCAGGTTCTGAAACAAAGTTTAGGTGTGAAAGCACCCTTTAAAAAATCATACATTTCTTAAAGTCCATGTGAACCGGAAGTTGATGAAATTTTTGTTTTAGTATGTTGATGTACTTCCAACTGAAATGGAATATTGAGTGAGTAGTTGATTAATTGAGTTTTGTGCATCATTCCGTCATAAGAAACGAATGGTAAGAGGAGTGTGGTAAAAAAATTGAGGCTGAAGCCATCAAACTGACCTTTACAGAGAAGAACCGCCGCTACAAATATGAAAGCAGATGGTCAGATTTGATTGAAAATTACTAAAACAAACTTTTTATTTCACAAAGACTTCAAAGACAATGGTTGTGCTGTGATTTAGGTTATATTTGCTTGCAAAAAATTTTTCTTTTTTAAATAATTCTTTTGCCAAGCCTCTATTTATTTGATCCACAAGTAAAGAAATACAATTCTTAAACGTTTTAATTATTTAAAATATCTGATTTAGTTTAATATATTTTAAAATAAAAATTATTCCTGTGATATCAAAACAGAATTTATAGCATCATCATTTCAGCTACATGATCTTCAGAAATAGTTCTAATATTCAGATTTTGGTCTGTACATTTTATTTATTTATTTATATATATATTTTTTGCTTTAATCCATGTATTCAAGATTACTTGAACCTTGTAAGGCACTGATTAAGAAGGCAAAAGTTAATGTTGTTGTGGTCAGGCTTAATGAAGCGAGGAGCAGTCATTACGGCGGGGAGACATTTAATGCCCGTCTAAGATATTTAGAAGGAAACAATGATATTTCTACTCAATGCTAGTTGCCATTATGATCTTAGGTGACATTAGCATAATGCAGTAATTGTCTGCCTTCCACCGCAATCTCTTCCTTTCTGTCATTAGGCTAATTACTGTTTCTCCATGACAACAAGACGATACAGAATCTTATGCCATTTTATGATAGATGTAACAATAAAACTGCTAGTCATTACCCTGTTGAAGCATTTTCATAGTCTTGATCAGATGACATTACTGGAAAATCACTTAACATGTAAACATGTATCAATTTAAGATTAATTATACTGTTAAAGGAAGTTTTTAAAATAATCATTACTGACATAAGTTGCACTCAGGCCAAAGCCAGGTTACAAAAAAAGAAAGAAAGAGTGATATAATGTAATTGGACTTCAGCAGGGGTGAAGCATCTGTTTATGAGTGGCTGTGGTGGAACGATCATTTAGGAAATCATTTCACATGAAACAAAAATGAGTCATTCAGAACAGAATTATCAAGGAAAATGGCAAATCGGTTGCAACCCTGAATCAAATTACAACTCCATGATAAAAAAAAAAATTAATGAGTGGCTATCTAATTTCAGGTGCTAAAAGGTACTGTAATAACGTCAATGATTTACCTGCTCACTTCATTATTTTATAAAAAAAAGAACCTTTTTCCAATTGAGCATTGAATTTTGTCTACGTGCCATCGCCATCATCAGGCATTTCATTTTCAAGCAGTGACCTGAAACGCTCTTTTTCAGCAGCTGCAGCTTTTACTGTGTGAGTTGTCAAGAATACAGAGGTTTCTGCTATTAATATTATATTACAAGGACAGAGATCCTCTGTCTGTCAGATGTCACTGGTGCAGGGCTTGCGGCGTATAGCCGAAAGCAGTTAGGTTATACATAAAAATTGATATAAGGGAAAAATGCATTTTCTAAAAAAAAAGCAGCAACATAATAAATAATAAGCAACTCTGTACATGCATTGTATTATTATTGATAATTGATCTAACATATTATAATAATTATCATTGTTGGGCAAGCTATTTGAAAAATGTAGCAAGCTAAGCTAAAAGCCACTTGACAAAAGTAGCTTAGCTACATCTAAGCCAGTGGTTCTCAAACTTTTCATCAAGTACCACCTCAGAAAAAAAAATGTCTCTCCAAGTACCACCATAATGAGCAGTATTGAAACACAGCAGCATAGTAGGCCCAGTAAAGAAAATTGACCAGAAGAATATGTTTAAGTTTAGTTTAAAATAAAAGTTTTTTTCTTTGTTTTTTTTTTTTTTTGTAAATTTTTATTAATTAAAGAATGTCAGCAACCCAGGCTCATTCTGAAAAGAACCGCTATATACATTCCTGGAGAGTGCCAAATACATCCTAGGAATTTTTCACAAATCCGCCAGAGGTCGCTGTGTACACTTTTTGAGATCTCAAATTTCTCTCGCGCCTGCTGTTCTGGTTTAAATCTACCAGAGGGCACTGTCGACTGACTGACTGACTGACCAATCTTCTGACTCACCCTCCTCCTTCCCAAAACCCAACCAACAGTGTTTTCAAAAGCAATCCAGAAAAAGAAAAGTTATCTCCAGAAATGTACTGTATATAGGGGTACGTTTTCAGAATAGGCCAATGTTTCAGAATGTACATGTTTTCAACATTAATAATACCAAAAACTAATGCTTTTTGAGAAGCAAAGCATATGAAAATTCTGCAGAAGTTTTAGATTTGCATCATATAGTAAATCAAATTTAAACATGTTGGATATTTCACAATAATTTTAACACAACACATTTAGCTTTGACACTACATAGAAAGCACATTTTCACAAATAAAAAAATAGTTGCATAGAATGGTATTTTATTGCATGTTTTCTGTAAATTCTGGTATAATCCCAGCCACCTTCAGCTTTCCACAGCCTATTAAGTTGCCTTTTTCATTCTGATGTACACTTGAGCTTAAAAAAAAAAAAGGGGGGGGGGACCTTTTAAGAAATCCCATCATACAAATTATACAGACTCATCTGTACATCAGAGCTGCTAGCACATCTTCTTTCAGGAGAAAAAGTACAATCCAGCTACAAAAATCGCTGTATCTGAAGAGCATTGCTCCATGAGTGTCAATTCACCCGCTTCACAGCAGACA